GGGTGTGGGGATTTATCTCACCCTCCCCTATCATACGTGGGCCTCTCCATCCTGTTACTCCTCATGGATGCTCCTGACCTCTCCTCTTTCTCCACGCTGAGACATGAGCAGTGGCAGGGCTGTTACTCTTGGGTTTCCTCGCCCACAACTCCTTTTCTCCCTCACTCCTTGGCCCTCTCGGTGTTCAGCATCACCTTCACTCCCGTGTTTGTGACGTTTCAGACACGACAGCCTGGGCAGTAATTCTTCCTCCCTGGAACTCCATGCTCCACGGCCCTCAGGCAGTGCAATATCCATGATTTGTGGGCTGCTGACTGAAGCAGCTTTTATAAATGGCTCACAGCATGGTTCTGCTCTGCCAAATGACTTGACTTCATCCTTTTCAGGACATTAATCTTGGTATCTTGCTCACAACCTCCTTCAGCCAGTGCCAAAGTCACCTTCTTGAGGGCTCAGCACTTTGGTCCTCTTCTATGCCAGTTCTGTGCTTGGTGGGCCCTACCCAGGGATGTTCTGACCCCTCTCCATCCTGCTCACACTCACTCCATTGTCCATTGTCCAAGTTTCCAATTCCTGCATTAATATAGATCACTTTGTTTTGGTGCACAATTAGATATGGGCTCATCCAGACTGACTTGCTCTGTGTACATGTCTGTAAATATATCTATATATATATATTTGTGTGGGTGTGTGCATGTCTTAGAGGTTGATTATTAATGTTTTTGGGGAAAAAAATGATCTTGGGCACCAGGAGCTTCTTTATACCATTGACAGCGTCAGTGCAACCTTACAGTAAATTATTGTGCACAAGAGAATAGCCCAGGCAGCAGAGGATAAAGCTGTCATTAAACATCCCCGTGGGAGCTGGGGACAGGGCACTGGGTGCACGGGCAGGGGCAGGGCAGTTCTGGCACTTGCAGGGGGCAGATCTGGTGTGTTGGCAAGGCCAGTGACAGCGGGAGATGGTTGGAATTGATTTTTTAATCAATGGGGGTGGAAAATGGGATCAGGGACCTCAGTTCCTTTCCTGCTGGAAGTGGGTTGGGAGTCGGGGTTTGGCTCTTGCAGAGCAGTAACCACTGATGAGGCCTGTCCTTAAAACCACCTGTGTTTGCAGGAGGATGCACAGCCTGTGTGGAGTCCAAATGGAATGTTTGCTGTTCACATTAGAAAGAGAACAGCTTTGGGATCAAACACGGGCCCGCCCCTCACCTGGGCAGTCCTTTCTGAACAGGATTTGCCGACAGTCCCGTGGTTGATCACAGCCAGAGGGAGTCTGGAGGAGATTCCTTCAGCATGGAATAACTGCTGCTTTGGCCCATGGTTTTTAGAGAGCAGTTAAATGCTGAAGATAACTCTGAATACTCTCAATATCCAGCTAAACAGCCATGACTTAATTAAACCTCATTATTTACTGGAGTTCAGTGTCCTCCTTTGGCATTGAGTTCCAGAGTTCAACCAACCATTACCATTGATTTTGGGTTTCCCACTATTTCATGTCACTGAACATCTCTTTCCCTGCATTAAGAGGGGAAATAAGGGAGTTGGAGGATATTTAGGAGCAAATGATACTGTATTCCAGAAAGGCAAAATAATTTGAAAATCCCAGACAAACTTTTTACTTAGTTTTTTCATTGCTGTTTTGATAGAGGAACATTAAAGAGAAACGTGATGTTCTGAAATCCTCCCAGTGAAGCATTTTGGTGTTCTGCTTCGTAAGAGGATTCATAGTCCCTCTGTGTTGTCCTGAGCAGAATAAGGAAAAAAAACTGGGAGGGGAAAGAGTTAAAAAAAATGAAAAAAACTCCAACTTTCCACTTTAGAATTAATTAAACATTTCAGGCCTAACACTTTGTAAAGAATCATTTTTTTTTTTCCTAGTGAAAAATCTGAATATTTTTCTTTTTTTCAGTGAGCTGTGGTTTTCCAGGTTAAGCTGGAAATACCCCTGCTGTGCAGGACTCCAGCCTGAAGTTCCTGGTGTCCCTGGTTCTGCACCATTCATTATTTTGCACGTGTACACTGGGACAGGGGAATTGGGCTGGCCCAGTGCCAGTGGAGCTGCTGTCAGCAGAACACCCTGAACACCCTGTGCTGATGCTGAACAAACACAGCCTCTCTTTAAAGCCCTTCAAAGGAGGTGGGAGCCTTGAAGTGGTTAAGCCTGGCCCTGTCCTCCCCTTCCTTCCCCCTCTTGGCTCAGTAGATGAAGGCAATCCGTGCCTACACGGGTCGGGATGAGCATCTCCAGAGGCAGCTTGGAGCTCAGCTCAGCCCCAGTGTCCCCTGGCTGGGCTGGAAGAGTGTGTTCAGGTCACCTTCACCTGCCTCCAGCAATCCCCAGCCAGGGGGAAATGCAATTAAAATGAAATAACTGGGGTGGGTGGAGCAGTGTGGTGACCACTGTTGGATGCCAAGACAGCAGTTCTTCAAATCCTCCTCAGCAGAACGAAGAGCAGGGACAGTCCCTCAGATAAAGAACTGCAGAGCTGGCCTGAGCTGTGCCTGTTGGACACATCCAGCCTGGAGCTGCTCCGTGGCTCATCCCTGCTGGGTTAGGTGAGCTGGGAGCTGAGCTCTGTCAGGATGGGGTCTGGCACACTCCTGGGACACTCTGAGAGCTAATTTGTGTGTGTGCAGAATTCTGCAGTGCTCCAGGCACCACCGTGACCTGTTGTTCTGAAAACAGGGGGAAAATAATGTTTTCAGGGATTGTTTCAGGTTGAAGAAGGAATTTGTCACCTCTGGGCACCTTCCCCACAAATTGGCCTTGGGATGTTAAGCAGTAATGAGGGAATTCTCTCAACTTCAGGATCTCTCTCCAAACCAGAGTTAGTTTTAGTGTTACAGGAGCAACTGTACCTTAGAGAGCAGTTATTTTTACTATTCCCAGAATACAGAAAAAAAATAAAATAATTAACTTTTTAAGCTGCTAATTTCCCCCTCACTTCTTTGCTGCATATAAGGAGTATTTAAATTTATAACACAACACCTCTGAGTGACATAAATATCCTGGTGTAGCTGTAGTAAATGGTTTGAGACTGTGTCCTCCTCCTGCTCCTCTGCAAGCTCTGGAGAGCAGTTTGTCAGTCATATATTCACATCTTTAATCTACCTCTTTAAGCATGTTTCTTTCTCCTTTCTCTCAAAACTCTTCACGCAGGAGGGATATTTTAACAATGGACTGCAGAGAAATACCTGTGACAAATGGATGATATTCACTGAATGGGAAAGTCTTCAGTTGGGAATGTCTTCAAATGGGAACTGAATGTCTTTTTTTTCAAATGGAAAAGCCTTCAATTCATGTGTTGCTCATTCAGTGCAGTGGAACAGCATCCCTCAAACAGGGATTATCCCCGGACCTTTGGCAGTATCAGTGTTATCCAGGCCCAGGAAGGGCTGAAGAGTAAAGAGGGAGGGAAATTCAGAAATACAGGCACAATAAAAAGTAGATGTAGGTAGAAGCAACACTAAGGATGGCGAGTTGGAGCTGGGATGTGGCTCAGAGATGGCAATACCTACTTTCAGGGCTGTGTTTGTGAGTGTCTCACGTGTGCTCCATGTTTGCATTCCCGTCAGCAGAGATCTAGTCCATGAACAGAGCCCAGAGAGGCACTGAGCTCATCCTGCAGGCAGCAGTTACCTTGGAAGAGAAATGGGGTTTTTCCATTTTTCAGAGGGATTGTGTGAATGAGAAATGTAGGACTGAGCAGGCAGGGAGCTGCCCAGGTCCTGCACATGAAGGGATCGTGTATTCCCAGTCCCTGAGGGCACTAGATGACCTTCTGCAGCCCTGCAGCCCTGCCTAAGCATCCTCTGGTGATGTGTGCATGCCCAAACTGAAGCTTTCCTGAGCCCCTGGACTCGGTCCAGCTGCTTTATCTTCGTAAAAGGGAAAGCTGAATAACTCCATGCCCATTTGTCAAATTTGGTTGAAGCTGATTAAGATGTTCAGAGCTATTATGGGAAGGGATTGACTGGCAGTACCCTCACACAGAGTTCATTCCCCTCATAATCCAGGTTGAAAATGAGTAACACAGCCCAAAAATGTGGAACAGGGCAAGAGGGGCAGGGTCTGCAGCTCAGAGATCCCATTGCCTCAGAAGCCCTGAAATTAAGGCAAGAAAATGAAAAGGGGTTGGAGTGAAAAGACCTTTAAGGTCCGTCTCGACCCAAACCATTCCACAGCTGTGTGTTTTCCAAGGAAAACTCCCCCCTCTGCAGAGGGCTTGTATCACCACTGTTGGGATAACTCTTGGCTTGCACTGGAGTTTTCAGGATCTAAACACTGCCTTGGACTATGTCTGAGCACAACCCCAGGAAGGTACCAACACATGTGGGTCTCTCCATCCCCATTCTCAGATGAATATTGATTTTTAGAGAGAAAATAAAAAGGGTTTGCTTCAAAACCGAGCAGATGTTGGTGCTGTGCTGGGAAGAACTAGAAAAAAGAAGAGAAGGAGGCTGTGGAACATGTCCAGGAGATGTTAAAAATCTTTCAGGCATGATTGGGTTTTCTTCCTCTAAAAGGTTGACACTGTCCAAAACAAGTGAAAGATGGGGTTATTTTTTTCCTGTAACTCAAGAATTCACTATGAGCTAATAAAGAGCTTCACCTTATAGACTGTGCATTTCCTGCTCTGCTTGAGTTTACATCTAAGACAGCTTTATCTTGATTATTTACCTGTTTATCCCAATGATTTGTCTGTTAGTCTGGAATGAACTGAACTGTTGTGCACAGTTTGGTGTGGAATCACACAATTGTCTCCTTACAGGTGTGGCTGAGGGGTTCCCTGGGCTGCCTGATATTAATAGATCACGTTTCATGTGAATTATTTGTCAAAGGGGGTTTGGATGGGGTAAAAAAATGAGCCTGTTTCCATGTAAACCTGGCTGGCCAGAGGCAAAAATCCCTCCCTCACAGAGCTCGTTGAGCAACGTGGGATTCCATTCGTTGCTCTCCTGTTGGATCCCTGAACCTGTTTCCTCTGGATCCGCAGGAACGAGTTCCGGCCCTGGATAGACGTGAAGCCCGTGAAAGCGATACGAGCCAAGCCCCAGTACAAACCACCAGAGGAGAAAATGATCCACGAAACCAGTTACAGCGCCCAGTTCAAGGGGGAAACCAGCAAGCCTTCTCCAGCTGACAACAAATACCTGGAGCGCAGGAGGATACGCACCCTCTACAGCGAGCCCTACAAAGAACCTCCCAAGGTGAGGAATGCGGAGGGAGGGACCCGGGGAGGGACACGTCCAACCCACAGGGCAGGGCTGGACTCTGCTGCCTTCAGTCCCCTTCCTTCTGACCAGCTGGGGATCCACCTTGGAGCTGGTGGTGAAGGGAAAACTAAACATGTCCTGTCCTTGTGCTCTGGCGGCCCAGAAACCCCACCCCGTGCCCTGGGCTGGTCCCACAGCGTGGGCAGCAGGGAAAGGGGGATTTGCCCCTCTGGCCCCTTCAGTGGGGGCAGAGCTGCTCCAGCCCTGGGGAACAACAGCACAAGGACCTGGAGCTGCTGGAGAGAGTCCAGAGGAGGCCCTGGAGATGCTCCCAGGGCTGGAACCCCTCTGCTCTGGAGCCAGGCTGGGAGAGCTGGGAGTGCTCACCTGGAGAAGAGAAGGCTCCAGGGAGACCTGAGAGTCCCTTGCAGGGCCTAAAGGGGCTCCAGGAGAGCTGGAGAGGGACTGGGGACAAGGGGGAATGGCTTTCCACTGCCAGAGGACAGGGATAGATGGGATATTGGTAAGGAATTGTTGGCTGTGAGGGTGGGAGGCCCTGGCACAGGTTGCCCAGAGAAGCTGTGTCTGCCCCTGGATCCCTGGAAGTATCCAAGAGCAGGTTGGATGGGACTTGGAGCAATTTGGGATAGTGGAAGGTGTCCCTGCCCATGGCATGGGGTTGCAAATAGATGGTCTTTAGGGACTCTTTTAACCCAAACAATCCTATAATTGTAAGGTCTCTAGAAAGCTTGATGCACTTTGGAGACAGTAGTGCCCTATGTCAAACTGAGGAGTGAGGGCAGGGCCCAGATGAAGAGGGTTTTGTGTTGTCATTTCCCACATGATTACCTAGGCAGCTTTCCATTTCTCCCCCTAAAACTATAGGAACTCCACGTTACTGTTTTTCCTGGGAACAGCATGGTAAGAGCCAGATCTTCATCTGCAGTTAATTCAGAGCGCTGCTCTGGTTGTGACAATACCCACTTCTGGCTTTGATCAGATCCAGGGCATATGCAGGGAAGGGCCTGAGCTGAAATGTCTCCCAGCCTTGGTTTCCAGGAGCAGTGGTAGATCTGCATTTGAAAGGAGTTTTAAACCCAGGACCATTAGTCCTTCCCAGAGTTCAGGAGCACTTGGATCTGTGAGGACTCTGAGGGGTGGCAGGGCAGGCATGGAGCAGCTAAAGGCTTCTGTTCCTCCTTCATTTTGTAGCTGTTCTTCCTATTTTGGGGGCTGTAGAAACAAGACACTGTTTGTGCACTTTTCTCCAGGTGCCAGTCAGTGTCCTGTGCCTCAGGTATCCCCAAGAAACTTTCCTCTGTTGTGGGAATCTGTTAAGAATAAACAGAGAGAGGACGGGTGGGGATTTGTAGCAGCCTCTTTGTCCTGAGCATCATTTCTCTGCTTCCAATCCAGAGAGAGAGACAATCCCCTGTGGGCTTGCAAAGCCCCCCTCCTGAAGAAGTCAGAGAAAGATGGAGGAATTGCTAAAACTCCTGATAATATTCCCTCTCCGGTTCATCCTGCTGTGTCCTGATCTGGATACAACAGGCTCTGCTGGCTCCAGGGGCACTGTGACTTCAGGGCAACAGCAAGGGAGCTGGCCATTTGCAACCCAGCATGAGCCCAGCTGCTCCCCTCCTTCATGGCAGGGCAGAGCTGAGCAGATAAGGAACATTTGTGCTGTTTCTGATCTAAATCCTGTTTTCCACCTGTCCTTGTGTCTCTCTCTGTCTCTGTCTCTCTCTCTCCTTGTCTGTTGTCGTTTTGCCTGTCCTCCATGCAGGTGGAAAAGCCTAGCATAAAGCCTTCCAAACCAAAAAAGACCACAACAAGCCATAAACCCCTGAAAAAGGCCAAAGACAAGCAGATTGCATCTGGCCGGGCTGCCAAGAAAAAGAGCGCCGAGACCTCCAACACAGCAAAGCCAGAGGACAAGGAGAAAAGTAAAGAGATGAACAATAAACTGGCTGAGGCAAAAGAGTAAATGTCACTGCACTTTCCTTTCTTACTCATTTTTTTTTCCTTTTCTTTCTTTTTTTCCTTCTTTTTTTTCCCCCCCACTCTTGATTAAATAAAGGCCACAAAATTAATTAGAGGCTTCTAATCTGCTTTTTGTTCTGATTGTATTAGAAGCTTTTCTGTTTTATTTCCAAGGAGGATTAGGGAATCCTTGTTTCTGAGGTCAGGTTGTTCTGCTTTGCCTGCACAACACGGCTCTGCACAGAGTGAGGGACGTGGGAATGCACGAGCGGGGGCGTAGGAGGTGAAGGTGATGGATCATGGTTACATCCAACAGCCTGGTCCTTTCTTGGGCTGGTCCTTCAGGGCTTTGCCAGCATGGAAGTGCCCGTGGAGCCATGGAAGGGCTGTGCTCTCATCCCAGGAGGCCCTTTTGGGTTGGCCCTTGTTGGGTCGTCTCCCACTGGTGCCAGAGGGTGAAGGGTTTTGGAGGCAGAGAGGATCAGGTTCATTCATGGTGCTGTGGATCTGCTGGGAATCCACCAGAATCAGGGGTGTGGCCAAGAGGATTCCCCCTGGTGACACTGGTGGGATTTCTGCTCCAAGAAGCAACGGGAAAGGAGATCCCAGGGAAATAAAGGGCCAAATCCTCCCCCAGGGTAGCTGGGGGTAGGTCCAGCTGCATCAAGGCAGCTTCACCCTCAACACCACTTGAAGTCCTTGATTTTAAATAAAAAACTGAGTGAAAGAGGGTGCAGAGAGCAGTGAAGACTTTCCAAGCACGTGGCAGGTTAGACGGGGTTATCAGCAGGTTGTTCTTCCCTATTGTTTCCCCCAGGTTGTGGATCCTTTTCAGTTATTCCCTGTTTGGTTTGAATCTTGGTCTGCTTTCTTCACTTCTGGGGTGCCAGTAGGCAGAGTTGAGTTTCAGAAAGAGGTTTGGTTTGCAGGTGTGACCTTCCAAGAGGTAGAAAGAAACGTGTCAGCAAGGTCGGCTGGAGCTGTGCTGTTGGCCCCTGCTGTGCTGATCCTTCCAGCTCCTGGGGTTCATGTTGGCTCATAAGCATCCCAAGAGGGCCACAAAAAAGATGCTGGGATCCCTAGACTCCCTCCAGGCAAGATCTCAGGGTTCCAATCCTATTTTTACTGTGCCCTTACTCTGGGAAATCCCCAGGCCCAATTTGGAAGCTCTAAACACGGCAGGACCCTTTGTCGGCAGCGTGACCTGGCCCAACAGACTGGCACTGCACCCCCCAGAATCTGGGTCACTGCATCAGTGGCAGCTGGGAGAGTTGTGGTTCCAGTCCAAATTTATTGTGCCTAGCTCCTGGGTTGGGTCCTAAATACAGAAGGATTTATCTTGACCCCACCAAACTGAGCTGTTAAACTCTCCCGTAGCAGAGAGGCCTCAGGTCAAGGCGCAGGGTTCTCATTATTTATTTTGGCAGCCCCAAAATGTCTCCCCTAACATGAAGTCCAGGGTGAAACTTTCAGAGAACAATTGGGAAGGACGAAGAGAGAGGTGGGAGGTAGGGTAGGGAGGCGGTTGTTGCTGTGGAGGTGTTGAGGTGAGGAAAGTCTCACTGCTGAGGGCGTTTTAGGGACGTGAAACAGAACAGAGAAAGGGACGTGTGGGGAGGATGAGGAGTCCCACTTTTGGGCTCTCACCCCGTTAGGATTGGGGTTTTTTTGGAAAGGTAAATGAGTGGTGGGCTACAAGGCTGAGGGGGAGTTTCCAAAGGGGAGGGAAGCTCTGTGATGTAGAGATAGTGAGGTTTGCTGGCCTTAGTGCTGAGTAACTGCCACGTTCAGTGTGTCGTGTGACGTGTCCTGTTTGCCTTGCTGACAGCCTAAACCTTCGAGTAGCAGTGAGTGTAGTGTTCTGAACCCAGTGGTGTATTTCCAAGCTTTAGCTGTGTTAGAACTGTGTGCTATGAGCTAGTCAGGTCGTGTCTGTGGAAAATATATATTCATATATAGAAATATATATATATATTTAAACCTCCGCTGTTTGGGAGGAAACCAGGGAAAATCCTCCAGGAAGTAAAACTGTGGAAGTCTTTGTGAATGTAGTGCTTTTATTTAATTTTTTTTTTTTTTTTTTTAATTTTGATGTGCATGCCCTCATGGAGATGCTGACCTGTTGCATACTGACCATTGCTTTTCTGAGTGCTCAGAAGCCCCTGCAGCAGCTCAGCTCTGTCTCCAGCACTGAGCTGGGGGGAGAGGGGTGTGCTCACAGCTCTTCCCACCCACAAGGGACAACTGGCCAGAGAAGATGAGCTCCCCAAGGCTTGGTGTGATTTTGAGGTGCTTCATGCATCTTCCTGCTCCTCAGCAGCGTCCTCTGCTGTGGCAGGATGTGGCACCAGCCCTGCAGATGATGTGTCACGGCAGACAGGGCACATCAGGGAAGCACTAGACAGTTCCCAATAGCCCAACAAACACACCAGTCTGACAGAGGGACAGACCACACCAAGCAATTGTCCCCGTTATTTTTTGGCCCCGAGTTTCACGTTGATAGAGACGCATTGACGCTTGCCACTGTTCCACCTTGAATTCAGGGGGCATGTGGCCCTTGACTTCAAGGTTTGAACTACATTTTGCCCAAGGAACGTCATTAAGATGCTCAGACCACCTAATCAAAGCATCTCCATGACCCTGGATCAACTGCTGAACGTGCATCAGCTCCAGGATTGCTCCTTCTCAGTGAAGAGCATCCATCCCTGTGCAACGTGCACAGTGAGTGGTCACAATATGGCTTTGTGTTCCTTAATATGTGAAGTTTTTTGGTGGCAGAATGTCTAGGTGGTCTTTAAGGTCCTTCTAACCCAAACCATTCCATGAGCTCAGTACAGAGCCAGAGGTCCAAATTCCCACCCTAGGAAGGAACTTCCCAAGGGCCGTCAAGCCATCTATTTTGACCACCTCTCTTTGGGTGGGATGAATGGTCCTTGGAAGGTTTTTTTTCTGGGAGGCTGGTAGGGCCTGGAAACCCCCACCCCTACTCAACAGTAACAAAGCTGGGATAGACATCCTTGGGCTGTGCTCCATGTGCAGCAGGTCTCAGCATGCATCCAACACCCCCCCCCAGCACACAGTTAGCACTGCACTGAACGCCAGGAAATGCAGCAGAGTCGAGCCTCAGGGGGAAATCCTGCATACTCTGCCCTCCCCAGACTCTGTGCCCATCCAACCCACTCAGGTTTATCAGAAAGGAGACCAAATCTCTGCCGTTCCAAGTTCACTCTGGGCTCTGAGCTTGTCGATCCCACTGGGAAACTGCTCTGCTGTTGTGTGTTTGCAGCTCCCACGATGCTGATCTGTAATATTATGTTCTGCTTTCCTTTGTAAAAAGAAAAGAAAAGAAAAAAAAAAAAATGTTTTGCTTTTTACCCTGTGAGAGTTCCTGTGCTGTCTGTTGCTTGCTTTTGCATTTTCACTGTATTGTACTGTTACTCCTTTCTGCAAAATGGTGCTAATTGCTGACTGAGCTCCTGTTTCTCTGACGCTTCGCACACCAATCGCCTGCTTCTCCATTTGCCCGGTGCCCAGACCCGGCACCCGTGAATTCCACAAAACTCTCGCCTCTTGGAGGCAGATAGGAAGTGTCTAATTAATATTTTGTGGCCTGGGTTCGGTTGCATATCACGGATTGTCTCTTGTAAACATGTTGAGCACACCTCCTCGTGGTGCTTTCTCCTTGTTGCTGTTCTGATGAGAGTCACACACACACACACACACAACACACACACACTCAAATTAATGTATAGCCAATTGATTGTGACGTGCTTGTGATCTTTGCTTGCTCAAAGGGTTCTTTTTCCAATGATAAATAAATGCTGAAGACGAATACCACCTCCTGGAGCTTGTTTTCTCGACAAGAAGCACAGTTTAGTGAAAGAAACACCCTTCCAACTGAAATCAGGCTTGTGTTGTTAGAACTGCCCCTTCCACGCCTGCCCTAGGCACAGCCTGACTCCCTTTAGGTGGCTGCTAACCCCAGACTAGCCTGGAGCCCTCTGAGGGCAGTGAAGCCGTGTGGTTGGAGCAGGTTTGCCTTTATTTTCCATATGAGATGTCTGTGAGCAGAGGATCTGTGCAGGGAGAGCCCTGCTGAGCCCTCCTGTGCCCACCTTCACTGGCCCAGGGAGCAGAGACCAAAGCCCCTGGAGAGCTGGAGGGAGGGGAGGTGACGTGGATGAGGTGACTCGATTACAAACCCTTTCCCAATGTTAATTACAGTGTTCCAACTGCCTCCAGCTTTGCTTTTCTCCCAAAACCAAGGCTGAGCAACCTGGTCTAGAGGGAGGTGTCCCTGCCCATGGCAAGGGGTTGGAATGAGATGAGGTTTAAGGCCCCTTCCAATCCAAACCATTCTAGGACTCTGTGGAAACCACCTGAAAAGGCCTATGAGGGGTCAAAGGGCTGTAAATCCTCACTGAAAGGAGTGGCAAGTTCTTGGGTTGAGCACTTTGAGAGCCCATGGAAATGCAAAGCTCTGATTTTATATTAATGAAAGTGTTGGATATCTGAAGAAAATGGTGGTTGTGAAAAAGCAGGGCTGGGGGCACAATTTTATTTTAAATGGTGACCCTAACCTTTTTTCTTTTAATTAGCCTGCAATTTTGATTTTTAATCATGTTTTCTCTTTTAATGGATGCTCCAATAAAATCCCCACCAACCTGAAGAAAACTATTGCATTTTTGAGCAACCTGGGCTAGTGGAAGGTGCCCCACAGCAGGGAGTTTGCAACCAGATGGTCTTAAAGGTCTATGACTCTGAAATCCTCTCCTCCACCACAGCTCTGTTACCTCCATGGAGCACCAACCCTTTCCTGCCTTACTGCTGCTGGGGGCTATTTCACATCCCTGCCTGGTTTACAGATCACTGCCTGAATTTATTCCATCTGTGACCACCTGCTGATACCAGTGCTGCTTTCTGATGTCCTGCTGTACCACCCTGCCTTCCCTGTCCCTTCCCCACCAGCTCCATCCATCCATCCATCAGCCACACACACCTGATCTCTGCAATGTTTCAGCGGGGCTGTAGCTCAGGGGATTTATCATTTCACCCTCCACTGCTGGTCCTGGAGAAAATGTTCATTTTTAAAAGATTTGTCGTTATCTGTGACAACCCACGATGGCCAACAAAGTGTTTCTCCCCTGACACAAAGGTCCAGGGGCTTTTTCCATGCTGCAGCACAGATGGGGACCCCACCTGCTCCCACCCTAATGGTCACTGCTGGGGTCTGGGCGAGGGAACAGGGAGGGGGGAGAATAACTGGAATTTAAAGAGTCAAAAGTCTTCTTCTTGAAGTCTTAGAGGTGTTTTCCAGCCTAAGTGATGCTGTGATCTTTGTGGCTTTGCAGAGGTGCCACCCTGCCTGCCCTGAGCAGCCCCACCAGGAGTGGCCTCCATCCTTCCAGCGTTAATGAGCTGATTTTAAATACCTCGTGTGCACACCTGGGATCCTTGTGCATGGGTGCATGAGGAAGTTCCCCCTTGATACTCCCCATCCTTCCATTCCAGCCTGGGCACAGGACTGAGATTTATCAGTGTTGACACTTCCAAACCTCGGAGCTTCCTCTGAAAACCTCAGTGATCATTTATTACGTCCCTGGCTGGTAAAAGGATGAGTGCAGATGTTCCATCAGCCCTTGTACGAATGCAGCCTCTTTGTGTGTCATAATATTCTTTGGATTTAGGGTTTATTTGAAGATGTGCCAGTGCAGGAGAGAAAGGGACCTTTTAAGAAGATGCCTCTGTCATAAGTTGCATCTCCCAACATCCAAGGAATAAACTGCCATCCCCAAGAGTGGCATCAGCTCCAGAAGAGGAGCCATGCAGGAAGAAGAAATCCTCTAGTATGAACAAGAGGATATGGATATGCTCAGCTCTAAGAACAGTATCTTTTCCACAGCTGGGAAATACTGTGATGTTCGGACATGGGCTTCAGCTCTGCCTGGTTCCAGCAGTGCCATGGTAAGTTTGATCCAGTCAGGGAATTGTCCTGCTACATGTGAGCTTTCTGGGTGGGGAGCAATCCCACCAAAGCCACTGGGGGGTGTGGGATGGGGGGGTGACAGAGCTCTGAGCACCTCAGGACTGGTGGTCTGTCAGGAACTCTGAGCTGCTTGTGAACACTTCATTTCTGTTGCAGGGTGCCCTGGGAACAGCTCCCTGATCCTGACTGTCCTGTGGAGAAGATGTGAGCAAAGGATAAAAGAAAATCCTGCTAATGGGTTGAAGGCATCTTTCTGCTTCCTAAAAGGCCAGCTCTCCCTGCAGGCAGTCTGCTCCAGGGAAGACAAGGACCAGCCATCGGAAAAATGATGGATGAGGAGCAGTGACAGACCTCAGTGACGTGTGAGAGCCCTGAGGAATGATAACTGTGCCTTCAGTGTGTTCAGTGGTGTGTGAGGTGGAAGGGGGAAGCATTTCTGACCCCTCCCTGTTGTCCCCTGCCCACCCTAACCCAGCCTGTGGCATGCAGCAGCCCCAAACCCCTGAGCAAAGCTGGGTCTTCTGTGTCTTCCTGGGGAGACCTGCATGTCCTGCCTGGCTCTGGGAGAGGTCTGGAGAGCTGGGTCACAGCAGAGGGTGAGGAGCACCAGGCGTGGCACAGGGTGGAGGGGATCCCACCACACAGTGGGTGGCTGATGGGTCTGTCTTTATCAGTTAAACAGCACTCAGGAGAACTTGGTGGTGCCAGGACCAGATGGTCAGCATAGAGAAATCCTGAGAGTAGCCCCTGGCCTTTGGACTGAGCTGTTCCTTGGGCTGGTTCAGGATTTAGGACCCAACTGAGACAAGCTCAGCTGTGGCCACCTTGTTTGGAGCCAGGGGATTTGCCCAGAGAAGCTGTGGCTGCCCCTGGATCCTTGGAAGTGTCCAAGGCCAGGTTAGATGGGCTTGGAGCAAGTTGGGATAGTGAGAGATGTCCCTGCCCATGGCAGGGGGTTTGGATGATCTTGAAATCCTTCCAGACCATTGTGTTGTTCTGTGGTTTGTCAGCAGGGACATGAGCAAGGCACCTTTGATTTCGTGACACAGGTCATGCTTTGGAGCCATAAGGACACTGAATGTCCCTGCCCCCCTTGCCCCTGCTCCTGCCCCTCTGCCCAAGTTCCACTGCTGATCACACACCTGTGTCCCTGCTGGCTCCTGTCCCTGCAGTGCCCTCACCCCGTCACATCCCGTGTGCACACCATGGTGCTGTTCCTTCTTGCCTTCAAAATCATTTCTACTCCCTCCTCCCTGCCTGTCTGTCCCACAACTGCTTCTTTGACCCCTTGCTTTCTCCCCTAAGCTACTTTCCCCTCCACACCATCCTGAATTCCCAGCTCCACCAGGGACCTTGTCCTTCCCATTCCCCCCAGTGAGTGTCTCATGTGCTGTCCTCCTGGACTGTGAGTCTTTCTCTCTGCCTGTACTGTGTGATCTCACTCACTGCCTGGAATAAACGATACCTCACTCACCAACTGCCCCTTCTCTCTCTCTTTTCTTGGTGTGTGGCTTCACTGGCTGTGTCTGCAAGTGCATCGTGTGCCTGTCCCTGTGGCCACTGGAGCAGTTGTTCTCACTGCTGCCTCTCTCCCCACAGTCCTTTGGGGTGACTCTGCTCGTGCTCTTGTCCTCTGGTGCCTTTGTTTCTCTCTTTTACAGCCCCAGGGACGAGCTCTGCTGGCAGCGCAGGAGCCCGGCACACTCAGAGCTGCAGCACCTCCTGTCCCTTGCCATCCTGGTGCATCTGATAGAGTTGGCCTCCCTCCAGCTCCCTGCAGAGGTGTCCTGTGCTGCCAGGTGGCTCAACAAATGCAGCAGGCGAGGAGAGTGAAGGAGAAATCTGGTAGCCCAGAGCAGAAGCAGCTGATGGTGAAGGAACGTCACTACTCTGGGACAGAAAACAGTGGGCACAAGTGTGTCAGTGCAAGCCCAAGCAGGACAAGCAGCAGAAGCTGGCTTGGCATGTTCCAGAGATGGATGCCCAGGAGGTTTCTTCTGGCTCAGAAGGTGCCCTGAACATTTGCTTCCTCCATCCCAGGCCAGGACTGGACGTGCCACCGAGGTCCCCAGCTGACCTTAGGGGTCTACTGAAGTCTTCTGACATCTAGATTTGTGCCAGCAGAGCTCTGGAAGAGCTTCTCTATCTGCTGCTCTGCAGGCAGACCTTGGTTTGAACTATGAAGGGCCGAGCTCCTTGTTGCTCACCTCACACCTACAATCAGCTCAGAGCTCACAACCAGGCACCTTCTCCTCCTTCAGACCTTGCTGGCCCCAAACTGGTGCAGGTTTCCAGGTCTCACCCCAGCTGTGCAATGACAGCACCCCTTCTGGCTGCTGAGGTGCAGAGCAAGGCTGGAATGCTGCCTTGCACCCTCCCAGCTCACTCTTCCCAAGGCTGTACCCCGGGCCAGACCTCTCTGTGCAGCCCTGCAGAGAAGCAGCCAGGGCTGCTCCTGCTCTGCATCCTGTGGTGGCCCTGGAGAAAATCATGGAATCACCTCCCCCTCACACTCCTTCCAGTTTGGAATGAAGCTTTACTGGCACAGACAGTCATGCAATTATCTGTATTCAGTGCTTCAGAGTGGATTTTTTGCCTTCAGAGTTCTATTCTGAAATGCAGGGCAGCAGCAAGTGCAGGATTGGACACCAAGGGAGAGGTCCTGGCTCCTCTGGATCCTGTTGAGCCTGGATCATCACACACACTGGCACAGGGCAGCTTGAGCATCTTCCCCTAATGCTCTGATTTATGGTGCTGGGTTCTCCTCAGTCCCACAGGAACTGGAAAGCTGAAAGAACTCAGCACATTTCCTACCGACCTCTGCCAAACAGCTTCTGGCAGCAAAGAGCTCCTCGTGGTCAGCACAGAGGGCAGGGTAAGGGTGAGTATTTGAGGGAGAGCTGTCCTGCCAGGGTTCTCCATATGGTCCTGCCCCACAAGCCTCTCCTGCAGGGATGGTTGGGCTCCTGTGTCTGGGCTGGGCTGGTTTCATGGGCTGAGGAGATGGTCACTGGGCACTGCCCTCCTGCCATGGTGTCAGCACCTCCTTCCCTCCTCTGACCTGGAACCATTCCCTGCACAAAGACAGCATCAGGCTGGGGGGTGAAGGGGCATCTCCACAGCCCCTTGATGTAACCACTGTGTAAAGCTGCCTATTTTAAAGCCAAGCAGGTTTCTCCTGCCTCTCCATCTGCTTTCTGCCTTCCTGCAGCCTCACAGATCCCTCCCCATCCATCACACCTCTCCTCATCCCTGCAGATCCTCCTCCTCCTTCCTAATGAAGATGGATTCCCTCGTTCCCTGCAGCTCTTTCCTTCCCCTCCCTCACTCTGCGCTTCCACAAGACCCAACCTTTCCTCCGGCACGTCGGATACAGGGCTGGCTCCAGAGCTGATCCCATCAGACATCCAGTGCCTGGATGGATCAATCCTCACCCCCTGGTGTCTCCTGGGGGCATGGAAGAGGAGGGGTTAGGATATGTGAGCCGGGCTAGTTTTCCTGCTGGTCCTTTTGAGAGGAGCCAGGTCCTTCCTGAGCAGCACAAGAACTTGGCTCCCCTGGCACAGGGCTCCCACCACCCACCTTGAGGGGAACAAGCTGCTGCTCTGGGAGGCACTTGCACAGCGAGTTCCGTGCAGGTTATAATCAATTGGCGAGCAACTTTTTGTAGCTGATGGTGGGCGCGGTCCTGCTTCACAGCTCAACCGAGGGCAGCTCAAAGGGTCCAGAACCCCAGCCCTCCCAGTTTTAGTGCACATCCATGGGTTTTGGAGCAGCTCCTTGCAGGGCCCGGGACCAGACTCACCAGGCAGCCTGAGGACACACCAAACACGTGCTCGGGGGGCACTGCAGGACCCTCTGGGCATGGGGCAAAGCCCAGCCCCGGGGTGGCAGCGTGACCTCATGCACCAACTGATTGCTCTGACAAGCTTTGCAATGATGCTCTTTCTCTGCTTCCAGGACCCCTGAGAAAAACCCTGGTGCTACAGAGCAAGAGCCAAGTACCTTAGTGCAGGAGCAACCCTCGTGAAGTCGGGAACTCGTCTGAGCAGCCGCTGGAGCACACGTATAGTCTGCATGAAACGTGCGCGGTCTGGTGGCCTCCAATAAAGCCCGCGAGCAGAGCTCGGTGACACCTCCCCTTGTCTCTCAAGCACGTGGAGTTCCGTCACCGGGACCTGTGTGATGAAGTGTAGCATGTCTGTGCCTGGATGTAAGTACAGTAAAGTCAGAGAAAGAAAAATGGGTCTGGTTCTCCCTTTATTTGTAGCTGTGGAACAGCACTTGGGTCTCTTACCGATATCTAATCTAAATCAACTCTCTTTCAGTTTGTACCCACTCCCCCTTGTCCTGTCACTCCAGTTCCTGTTGGGCAGCCCCCCTCTGGTTTCCCTGTAGCCCCTTCAGAACCTGGAGGGTGCTGTGAGGTCTCCACACAACGTTCTCTCCTCCAGGGTGAACAGTCCCAACCTTCTCAGCCCGTCTCCATAGGGAAGGTGCCCCAGTCCCCTTACTAAATGCTGGACAAGACACCAAAACTTGCTGGTAAATCCGTATTTCTTATCAGCATATTTAAAAAAAAAAAAAAAAAAAAAAAAAAGTTTAACTGAAAACTTGTGAAGTACCAACTGGAATTGCTGTAGGAAAAGTTTAGCTGGCTCATGGTTGTTCTGTATGCCCATATTTTCTGGGTGAGGCTCCCTGTGTCCATGAGGGTCTGCTTTGCTGGGTCTAGTTCATAAGAAAACTGCCTTGGGGTGGGAGAAGTCATTCAAGTATTTCAAAGTGAAAATGCCAGTCCATAATACACCTCCTCCTCCAAAGTACTCCTCCTACACACCCCTGTTCCGTGCAGGAGTTATTCCAGATGGCAGGACCACCTTTAGGAGGAGTGGATGATATAGGAGATCCAATCTTCTTCACCTGCATTGGTTATTTCTATTAATCCTGTACCCCTGCCAAGGCACCCCTGATGGCCAAAATCCCAAGAGCTGTAGAGACACAGGACAAAGACACCCACCCAGAAAGATCCTGAAGGAAAATCAGGAACCTAAAATTGCCTCCAGCTCCTGATGTTCACATAATGGTGAATCCCCTCTGATAACAGGAAGGTTGGAGAGAACCTCCTTGTTGAAGGGATGAAACACAGAGAGGAATATTTGTCAGGATGTGTGGCTTGTACAAGGCAAGAAGAAATTGGAGTGAATCCAATCACTGAACCATTGCAAAGCACCTCTGAGAAGATGTGAATAGTAACTAATGAACTGCTCAGTGCAAAGGCTGGAGATTACATGCCTGTGAATAATTGCCTGGCTCGGTAGCTGAAGGGTCCTTGTTACACGTGATTAAGTAATTAACTTTTTTTTTGGTCTATAATTACAATGATTGCACAGTTATTAGAGAGGAGACCAGTCCAAAGCTCCAGTGCCAGTTGGTTGCCTGCAGGAGGTTTTGCTCCAGTTCCCTGGAGCTGCTGGTGTCCCAGGAAAGCAGGACCTGGAAGATGCCTGGCTGTTGCTCTCTGATGTCTCAGGGCCCATCTCTTGTCTCGGAATCAGAGGTGCCCACCATAGATCTAGTCAGCCAAGGATCTTATCTGTGCACAGTTATTTGTAGCAATCAAGACATCCATGGTGGAAATTTTAGAGGAAAAAGGATCATTTTTCCATCAGTATCTGATTTTCAGGGAGGCAGCTCAAAAGCCAGCCCAAACATTCACCAAAATACAGATATTTTTTCTGCCTCTTCAGGTCCCTGAAGGTGAGAGCAGGAGCAAGGGGCCACCAGCTTTCATTTCACCAGTGGACATTGTAGGGAAATGTGTCTGAAGTGGGAAGGGGAAATTTCACAGAGGTAGGTTTTGAAGCAGCAGAGCTGATTTAAATGGTGGCCCAGATCAAGGCAGAAGAAAACATTTGTGTAACCCATAAATAGCCACATGTGTTCTCCCAGACTGGGCACAATATTTCAGATAAGCCAAAAAAAAAATTCATTTTTCCACAAGTTGAAATATTTACTGTTTATTATGAAAACCCAACACTTTCTGTGTCCTGGCAGATTCTGTTTCCATTGCTAATATTTCTCTCCCCTTCCTCCTCATTTAACTGCTCTCCTCAGGCTCCTGTTTCCTTCCATTTAGCTTTTCTTTCCCTACATAATCTGTCCTACTCAGGGTCCTCCTACTCTCAGAATTAATCAAGTTACTCAGTGCACTGCCCAGATAATTTCCTGCCATGCTTTTCTTTTTAAGATTGCAAAGTCCCTGCAGCTGGGTCTTTCCCTCATTTTGTGCCCTGCTCAAAAATCTTGGTCTTATCGTGAGGTATTACTGTAATAGACGTGATTAATAGGAATTATCCTCCCACCAGCAAGCTTAATTCCATGCTGCTGAATTTTGCATGCCTGCTTTTATCTGGGGTGTACGTGGCACATCCTTCCAGCCTCAGCAGTGCTTTGTGTCAGTGGTGCAACTGTGCAAGGCTGAGGGAGAGGAGGGAATCCCCCAAGCAAGGAAAAACAAGGCTGAAACAGGAGCAACAGAGGGAACCAGAAATTTAGAGCAAGGAAATTAGAAATTAATGCAATGGAGGGAAATAAAGGCAGGAGGTGAAGTTTTCTGTTCCCCCCTCCAGGGGCTGGGTGAGATAACACTGGCCAGGGAGGATGTATTCCCTGGAGAGGAGGGACACAAGGCTGGAAAAGAAGAATAAAGTGCTCAGCAGAGTGTTTCAGGCTGGATCTCAGCTTTTGCAGGCCCCAGGTTTCACAGCTCCAGGGACATGTGCTGATTTTTCAGGGAGAAGCCTTGCCCAGGGGTGAGGAGATGGAGAAAGTTCACAGGAGATGCTTTGCCCCCCAGCAGGACTGGGAGCACAGCAGGGATTAATGCTGCAAAGCTCCTTATACGATGGGATATTTCCATTTAATGAGGCAGCACTGGAGGAGCTCAGTGGGTGGGGAGAGCTACCAGACACATCCATCCAAGACCAGGGCAGGACCCAGGGAGGATTCATTAGGATTTGAGGCCCATCTGTGGTATGAAGTGGCCAAAACTGCTGGAATTGTTGAATCTGCCTTTCTGTTTGTGGGTTACATCCTCAGAAGGTGCAAATGCCCACACCTGGATGGACTCCTTGCTGATTTACACCAGCCGAAGTCTGTCCAAACAGCACAGAATATCCCACAGCTCTTTTTAACACCGTGAATAACACGTTGTGCTTGGTTGATCCCCCCCCCCCAGCAGTGATTCCTAGATGACTTGTGTTCCCTTGTTTCCTCAAGGCTGTTATAAATCCTGCCCTGAATTATTTAACCCCCATTCGCTCCCCCTTTCCTCCATTGTCTTTTCTCTTTTGTTCCCCTTGCCTTGGTGTGTTTATCTCCCAGTCTGTCATTCCAGTCACTTCATTTCTCCCTCTACCCTCATGCATCTTTCATAGTTTACCCCCCTTTGCTCTGGCAAAGGGGCAGGTTTTCCTATTTGGTAGCAGTCAGTTTTTGTGACATATCTGGGTTACTGTCAGGACTCCTTCCCTGTGTAAAATGTCTTTCATTTTTTATGACTCTGCCTTAATAATTTATCCCCCATCAAAGATGTATCATGAAATCACCGTCCTGAAATGGCTTTTCCGTGTTGAGGTAATGGAACAGGGATGGGCTGGAAGGTGTAATTCCCATATGGTGTTTTGGTGCAAGGCAAGCCACAAGTTTCAGGGGAAGGAGAAAGCTGAGAAGATGCTGCTGTTTGGTGTCTAGATTAGAAGGGAAAGGAATGGACCCACATTTGCCCTGCAGTGCAAAAAGTCAAGTGCCTAAAAAGAAAAAGCAAAGCCCCCCCATCCTGCCCAGTCTGTACTATGAGGTGTGTCTGTGTCTGCTTTGTGTTTTTGGAACAGTTGCTTAAGGAGGACAGCGAGATGTGTGGGCAACCCCGCTCATGGTTCAGCTTTCCAGTCACACAGAAACCAAACCGGGTCAGTGGGTTTGCAGAAATTGGGAGATCCTGCAATCCCACCCACGATGATGTGTGGTCAGGTGATTCCTGTCTGAGAAGGCTCTGGAACCAAGGTTTTTCCACCCTTCCCAGTTCTCCCCTGAACAGAGCTCAGAGTTAATCCTCCTTGTCCAACAGGGCATCATCTCGATCTAATATCCCAGGACACGGGGAATTCACCCCTTCCCTCACAAAGCTTTTCTCCCTTGGCACTTAAATATTCATTGCTTTATTATGTCTGATAATAAACAGCCCCACTGGACCTTTAGGAGCTTCTCTTGATGGCAGTGGTTTCCTCTTCTGAAGGATTTCACTAACCTCCCTTCCCCAGAAGATGGCACTTATTGCCTGCTCTCAGTGTTCCCCGAAGCCTATTCAGTACCTTCTTCCCTATCTTCTCCCCAGTCATGATGCACTTTTCTTTGCAGCATCCAGCTTCTCTCATCCATTTTCTCTCCTCCTTTGCCACTGGGCTTAACAGAGGATACAGGATTTCCTTTTTGCTCTTGTTTTAGTGGGTTTTAGCGCCATTTTTGCCTTTGTTTTAGTGTATTCTAATTGTGGACACCAAACAGAAAAGGTTTGAGTTGTAGGCAGCCCTCTTTGTGCTACAAACCAAGATATTTAGGATATCTCACTGGCTCTTGCTGAACAGCTCCTAGATATCATTCATGTTTTTTTAGGCCGAATTTTCTCTCCTGGTTCATCTCATCTACGTTGTTCCCCCGTGTGGAGAAAAGACACATCTTGAACAGTTCATTTCCAAGCCAAGGAGGAAAAAAGGCAACTTGTCTGAATCCAGAAGGGTAAATGTAGTGTTATTAATGTGCTTAAAAATATATGAGTTGCAATTTCTAACTCTGAGCCGCCGGTTATCCGGTAAGACGTGGTTTGGGTTTGATTTTAGTGCTGATGTGGAGCAAGCTGAGAGTTCATCTGTGCAGGATGAACTTCCTTTTTGGAAGAGCTGATCAGCTCCTGAGCTGTTTTCAGCAGGGGGATGTTTCAGAAACACCGAGTGACTGATCTTGTTGGAAAAACCGTCCTGCCACATCTAATCATGACAAGCAAACACAGGCTGAGGGGGAGACCAGGTGGTGCCATCTCCAGTGCTTACAAGGAGCTCTGTAAACAGTGCACTTGCAAATGAACCTTTGCCTGAGGCAGGATTTTAAACAGGCCCTGCTCATGCCACAAATTATGTATCCATTTGGAAATGAGAAATGGTTATTATAATACTCTGAAGGTATTCCTCAACAGCCCTCCTTTTGTGTTAATTGAGCATTCCTGCCAATGTACTGAAAGGGAAAAGGAGAAATTTGAAGCCATTTATTTAACCACACAGCTTAATTTCAAGTACAAAACACAACAGAATTCAGGCTAACAGAATTGCCATAGGGTGGAAATGATTATCAATATAAAATCACAAAGCATTCTCAAGAAGTTACTGATCAACTGGTTGATCATTCACTACTTGTGAACATA